TCGTCGGAACTAGAATGGCGAGAGCCTTGGTGAGATCAAAGACAGCCAAGCACCAGGACTGGCGGGAACGAAAATCCGGCGAGAACGAAATGCTGACGGGCACCAGAACTGGCGAGTACCAAATTCGTCGGAACCAAGAATGGCAATATTGGAACGCTGGCGAGAACCAAAATTAGCTCGAACCACGGGCAGTGGTAAGGAAGACAGGGTGCTGAGTAGTCGCTGGAGGATGATACTGGATCATGACAGCAACTATTGATGAAGGTAGAAGCAAGTATAAGAAACAGTGAGGGAAAGGGCTGACTGGACTGTTCAAGTCGTGCTCGCCGATGTGAAGCTATGTGCAAAAGAAAACCAAATGGGGTGCTCTCGCCAGTCTTGTTTGAGTGACAATCTTGACTGACTTGGCGGGAGCTTTGGACGAATGACAAAACGATTCGTCACGCGAATGGCAGCACAAAAGAAAGTGATCATGCTGAGGTGAAATACCCCGCGATTTGAAGGGTAAAACGACGATTTGAAAAGAGTGACGACGCTTACCTCGAGAACTCGACAAGGGGACAATTGGCGAATAGTGGCCGGTATCGGACGGGAGGAAGTAGATGGTGAAGATGCGACGGAGATGATAACAAGGGAAAGATGCGACGGGAATCATGCGAAGAGATGCGACGGGAAATTTATCAAGGGAAAGATGCGACGGAAATATCAACTTACAATCTCAGTCCAGGTAGGCGGGCGCGTCCAAGGGGATAAGAGAAGCTGGCGAGTACAGATTGGTGTCATATGCCGTGATTGGCAGGGACACACTCGGGGTAGGCGGGCACGGCGAGTGCAAGATCCAACAAGCACTGGCGAGAACGAATAGATGTTGTCATTGGCAAGGGCGTGTTCGTGGTAGGCAAGCGCGGCGAGTGCAAGATCAAATGAAAACCGGCGAGAACAAGCAGTTCCTGTGAATGGCAAGGGCGCGTTCGAGGTAATCGAGTGCGGCGAGTGCGGTGAATGGAAGATCAAACGAAATCTGGCGAGTACAGTGGTGCCTTCGAGGTAGGTGAGTGCGGTGAATGAAAGATTGAACGAAAGCTGGCGAGTACAAGGGTGACTTCCAGGTAGGCGAGTGCGGCGAGTGCAAGACCAAATAAAAACCGGCGAGAACAAACACTTACTCTGAATGACAAGGGTGCGTTCGAGGTAATCGAGTGCGGCGAGTGCGGCAAGCAAAAAATCAAACGATAACAATCAAGTATGAGGGCACGTTCTGGGTAGGCGAGTGCGGCGACAGGAATATCAACCAGAAGTTGCCCGTCGTGGATGATAGTGGTGACTCGCGGGAGCCAATGCTGGAATGCACAAAGACTGGCAAGCACCAAGACTGAGAGAGGAACCACAGTCGGCGAGGACTCAGTTTTGAAGAGGGAGATGATAACAAAGATAGAAGTGATAGATGACGACGATGGGTAGACACGACGGTCATATAAAGTCAGACGAGTTGCGATGGAAGTGTAGATGAGATGCGACGAGAAAAAGGACCACATGCGACGAAAGATTGACCAGACCTACTGAGATATCGGCGAGATGATGATGATAGATGATGGTAGATAGCAGTAGATGTGAATAAATATTGGTGGTGAGAACTCGTGAAGATCTGGGGTTGGGTTCACAAAAAAGTCAAGTGGCAAAAAGGTTTGCAGGCCTCTTCCTTAAATAGATAATTTTCACGGCCGTCAGGACTGCGCAGCGGTGGGCGTCGACCTGCAGCCTGCCATTGTTCGAGGCGGCATCACGGCCGGCAGCTGGCTGGGACAATCGCGGCGCTGGTGTTTAGAACAATCGAGCGCCTCGACAGCTGGCCGCGGAACAAAGGAATTTCTCACGGTTAGGACAATCGCCCGCCACGGTGGTTGACTGGTCGACAAACGAGGCACGCCAGCCTCAGGCCACCAACAATCGGCCCTCAGATTCGCTAATCACCAGTGTGCAAGATAATCCATCGTGCCCGCCAGTCCACAGTGCGCTTGAATCCAACGTGGCCGCCACTCTGGCCGTATCGAAGCCATCGTTCTCGCCGGTTTTGAATATCTCACAGGCCTGTTAATGGCTTTGACAGTGTACTCATCACTCTAGCATGCCTATCAGAACCGCCTGTAGTAACCAGATGTGCCTGTTAGTCCCAACGTGCCCGCCAGTTTACCTATATCGAGTGACCTTGATATGCCCGCCAGTCTATTCGTATCTCAGCCAAGGTTCTTACCAAAATGGCGTGCCTATCAGCCTACCTCGATTGATCCAGCGTTCCCGCCGGTCTTTACACACCTGCCGGCCTACCCATATCAAGCCCAATGTGTCCTCCAGTTTTGACGTGCCCGTTGACTTACCTGCGAGCGACATACTCACTTATCTTGACGTGCTTGCCCGCCTACCTCGATTCATCCGATATGCTCATTAGTCTTTGCGCACCTGCCAGTCTACCTGTAGCCAATACAAAGTGCTCACAAGTCTTGACGTGCTCGCCGACCTAACTGTAAGTCACCTGGCGCACTCGCCAGCTTTGCGTGCCCACCGGCTTACCTCGATCTGACCCAATAACTTGCTTCATTTCACGTGCTTGCCAGTTTACCTGAGTTTGACGAGAGTACTCGCAAAACTTGAATGTGCCTGACGAATTGCCTACAACGCATCAAGTATGCTCGCCATTCTCACTTGCTTGCTGTTTTACTTGTATCGATGCGAGTGAGTCCGCTAGTATCAACTTGTTCAGCAGCCATATCGTGCTTCGTCAAACATACTTGCCAGTCCTAACGTGCTTGCTCAATTTGATATTTCTGCCTATCTTGTTGAACTTGCTAGTCTTGAACCATCCGCCAGCCTACGTCTACCAACTTCAGCACGCCCGCCAGTCTCAAGGTGCCGGCGGTTTGCCCGAATCCAGTCTAATGTGCTCTTCATATGCCTGCCTTCTTACGTGTATTCGTTGGATGATACTGGTCAATAGTTTCATGCAGGGAAGTACAAATGTACCCGCCAGTCTGAACGTGTTTACACCCTGCGTAGCACCCTACCTATAGACCTAACGATCCAAATTGTGTATTCTTGACGATCTCCACATGCCGGGCTTCCTTGTATTCCTCATTCTGAGGTCCTCGCCAGTTTTGCACGTCAAGGTAAGTCGCGATGCCAGGCAGCTGTGTGTTTTTCCCTTGGCTTGATATGAACTTGTACAAAGCAGCCCAGCTTCTCTCGTCCATGACCACTTTCGTCGTGACCTACAAGCGATGTGCCAATTCAACCTCTTTCGGTCTGTCCGCAGAGACAAAGAGAATAACCATTCTCGAATAATATATCGAAGTCCTTTTGTCCCGTCCAATGGGTGTGGTGGTGTCAATTCCGCCCTGAGAATGCATTGCGACATGTATTTCATCGTAGTAATACGGGGTTACACATGGAAGCTGGACTGAAGTTTGCTATTCGGGCAAGCAAGGGAATATTTTTAAATACTCTCAATGAGTCGTAGGAATTACATTGGACGTTGAGTTCGACCAATTCGGGGTGACCAACCGGTATTGGCCAGAAGATGAAGAGTTGTGCTCCTTGTGCAGGTTAAGATTGCAGTGAAGATACAAGTACCCGAGTACATGAGTACTTGTGTACATTTGCTGCTAGGCTCATATGACAGTATTCCCTCAAGCAGTCAACGCTGCTGTTCGTAGCTCAGGCCCTATATCGACAGTTGAGCATTTCTCACCGTGAATTATATTTCTACGTTTGGGCCAGAAAGTCTCACTGTCCACGTCGTTGAAAAATTGTGGTCAAGTTAAACCATCTTGTCCACGACGATTCTTGGCAGCGAGGGCATCTGCTTGTTTGGACGATGGTATTCACAAGACAGAGATGTCGGGAGATAAGTCCCTGCTTTTTAGATAGTAATGTTGACTTTGTAATTTCTGCAGCCCATACTCGGCCATACCGACGACTGCAGAGTAGATAATATATACATGTAAAAACTGATATCATGATAATAATGCAAACGCTTATTTCCAAACCCGCTGTATGTGGTATAGTAAAGATACAAAAAGGAAACTCATAAAAAAACACATTCCCACTTTGCGCGGGAATCTCAGCTCTCACAGCATGCCGAGCTCCCTTTGCTGTTTGCAATCCGGACAGAGACCCCGGACCAGGCGTCCAGGAAACGGACCTTCCTTTTTGCCGCAGCGACCGAAACCGCGATGAGCACGGAGGACGTTGTAGCACTTGTGTTCGCAAATCTTTTCGAACGCCCTGGGCCGGCTGCAGATCTCGCAGATCTTGGTGAGGCGCTCCGAGTAGCACATGGCAGGGTATAAATGGTGTTGTGTGGTTGCCTTTCTGGACAAGTGATAGTTGGAAAATATGGCGTGAATCGTTCTTTTCAAAATCTCCGCTGGCTTTATAGCCCAATTACTTTGGAAACTGAATGATTCAACTAGAGAGGATCTGCAATGAGCATTTTATACCATGGCACAAGGTTCGCGATATTTGCCTACAATGGGGCCGTCAAAGCAGGGCGAACCCTTTGACTTGTTGTCTTGGAGTTGCAGATTCTCAGACAATGGGGACGCTGCCCCTCAATGTGCGCATAGACAAAGGACGGAGGTCTTGTGTGTGTGTGAGAGAAAAAGAGAAGCAAGTTGTTTCTTGAAGCATCAGGCTCAGTGCCCAATACGAACAGCCCTCCAGCCCTCAATGCCGGGCAGTTCGGGGCGAGATAAGTAGTCGTGGTATGTGTGGCGGTGCTGATTAGGTGGTGGCAATGGGGTAGGGATGCCGATTGTAGGTCGTCGTGGGTCAGGTAGCACCGTTGGGTACAGATTATAAAAAAAGCATATCAAAATGCGGGGAGATAATACTGGGATCTAGAGTTGCACGAAGAGCCGTGTTGGTAAGCATACTGACTGTATTTGAAGCATGAAAACAAGATAAAAGCAAGAATAATGCAAACTCAAAAACTCACAAAAATGATGTGCGCCCGGCGGGATTTGAACCCACGATCTCTTCCTATCCATATGGGAGGGAAGCAGCTTAACGACTAGCCCACGAGCGCCGAATTATTGATTCTTCTTTGTTGAAACGAATTCAATTATTCAGAAATAATAGGTGAGTTCAGAAGAACAAACAAATCATGAAACATAAAACATAAAACATGACAAGAAAGAGCGCGTCAACAAACAAACGACCTTGAGGGACCTTTTCACCTATGTACTGTGCAAACGGCGACAGCTAGACTCGTACGCACGCCAAAAAAGCAGGGAAACCGCAAATCAATAAATGGCAGGCTGAGCATTAAAACCGACCGACCGATGGCGTAGCTTTGCGTAGCTCCCAGTAGCTCCGCCCCACGCTTGTCTATTTCCCTTCTGGCCCCTGGGGGCTATGGATCCAGTCTGCGGCCCCAATGCTCCCTCAACGCGCCGAACCAGTGGGCGACCAAAGATTTTAAGCTGCCCTGGCCCGGCTTGCAACTCTGAGCTCGTAGCTTCTGGGATCCCCCAGTTGGTTTGCTGGTCTAAGGAACATCCTTGCCAACTGGATCCTCTCTGGGTGCTACCTAGCCTGCCACTACCAACCTCTGTATGATCGCCCTGGATAGAGGGCAGGGCCGCCACAATCACAGATGAAACAGTGACCCAAATGTGGTGTGATGAATCGTCGAGTGAGGCCGCAAATCCACAGGTGAGGCTGATCAAATTACCATCATTGACGCAGTGCCATTTGTACCACCGGCCATAATACCATACCTGATCGTCAGATACGCAGTCTTGTCTCAGCCTCTAATTTGCAACAAATCAATGCGGGAATTTGTGAATAAACGAGAACTGAATATATTATCTCCACACTCGCGCAAGAAAATGACCAAACATGAATAACCATAATATGCATTCTCTACCAAGGTATTCCAAAATCGCTCGCTTACTCGACTGACATCGGGGTATAGTATGCTCATCAAAATCATAACGACTTGAAAGAGGTCGAGTGCCGACGAGATCAACTCTCGATACAGCTCATGCCAACCTGAAATACATGACCGTCATTGTATCCGTCATAAAAGCCAAACCTTTGCGCCCCAATATCCTGCCTTCCAATGTGAAAATGCTCCATCCAATACAAACATGAACAAGAGGGTATGATGTCGACATGTGCCGCTCTCCGACTGGGTAGAGCAAGGAGCAAGCCAATGAATGCCAATGCTTGAACAACCCACTCCCATCCCACTTCCCGTCTATCAGCCCGATCGCGACCCAACCCAAGTACATGATGAGAAAAAAGATGGAAATTTTGACGAGAGAAGAACAAAGTCTGACACATATCCAACAAACAATAATCGACACTAATTTCCTCTCAACTTCTTCCACCAACTGCTACGGGGAGCAGCGTCCATAAAGACATCGCGTGGCTTTTCACCACTGCCGTCTGACTCTCCACGGCGGCGATCACGCTCCTCACGACGCGCTCGACGACGCCTCTGATCGTCGTCCATTTCGGCACTGCCATCTTCATACGTCGAACGACGGCGAGCCCGGCGCGCACGACGGGCATCATCGTCGTCGGTAGGTGTCGGAGCGTCAGTGCCAGGATCGTTCTCGGGAGGTGGACCAGCGTCAGAGTGCTCTTTGACCCAGGATGAAGTACCGGAATGCGGCCACGCCGGGCGCTTCTTGTTGTCCTTGGGCTTTGGCGTGTAGACGTACTCATCTGGAGGTGTACGGCGACGACGAGTCTCCCTCTCTTCTTCGACGGCCCGGGCAGCGCGACGGGCCTCATGCCGTCTACGGCGCGCCTCTTCTTCTTCGGCGTCGCCACCCCGGCGGGACCTGTATCGGTCATCTCTGCCGGACCGCCGTGGCTCGGCATCTGCTTCTTCGGCGGCAGCGGCAGCGGCGGCTTCCTTGCGAAGACGGCGACGCTCTGCGCGCTCAGACTCCCTAGCTGCATCGGCCTCGGCAGCGTGGCGTTCTTCGTCTGCCTTGCGCGCAGCACGTCTTTCAGCTCGCCTAGCTTCCCGCTCCGCCTCTCTACGAGCGTCGTCTGCCTCTTCTTGACGTTTGCGACGCTCTCGGCGAGCTTCGTCCTTGGCGATACGTGCTTCTTCAGCTTGCTTCTCTTCGGCGCGTCTGGCCCGACGAGCTGCACGGCGAGCTTCCGCCTCGGGATCAACTCCAGCCTCAACATCACTCTCTCGCGCTGATCGCCTAGGTCGCTTGTCTGGACGACCAGCTTCGTCATCTGTAGTTTGATAGGTCCCGCGACGACGAGGCTCTGGACGAAGCTCTGACTTGGGGGTACTCGACATGAGACCTCCAAAGAGACCAGAGATGCCCTTCTTGGCACTCGAGTTGGAGCGCTTCATCGGGGTTGCATCCAGAGGGACTTCATTTTCCACCATGACGATGTCGTCTTCGGCTGCTCTTGATCTGGACTTCTTGTGCGATGACCTCCTCTCGGGAGCGGGAGCAGCGTCGACTGGATCAACCATGACAATATCATCGTCTTCCGCAGCATGGCGTGACTTGTTCTTGCGGCTACTGCCGATACCCAGAATCTTGGCGGCCTTGGACGACATACCAGGCATGTCTTCTGCTGGAGGGGACATGAGACCACCCGACATATCTACCGAAGGACGACGCGAGCTCGACTTGCTGGGACGCTTCTCACGAGTGGACTTTGATCGCGACACGGGTGGCGTGCTTTGGAATACGCTGGGTACACGCGGCGCAACCAGGTTCGAAGCTGCTCTTTCGCGCGCTCTGGGTCGCTCTGTCTTATCTGAGGATGATCCTTTTGACGAGGTCTTGTCCTCGCGCTCCTTTCTTTCCGATCTCGACCGCTTGTCCTCTGACCTGACCTTGGAAGACTTGGGCTCCTTGTCCTTGGGCGCAGCAGACCACATGCCCCATGACGAACCACCCTCGCGATTGATCTTGGTACGTTCCTTCTTGCCGGATCGAACGGGTTCAGCAGGAGGAGGAGGAGGCATGGGAGGTTCGGGAACCGGCGGTGGCGGAGGTGCCTCCATTGGAATGTCTCGCGACTTCTTGCTCTTTTTACTCTTCTTTGGAGACGACATATCGACTACTTCGATGATCTCGTCCTCATCGTCGTCAGGAAAGCTACCAGGGATACCGTTCTGCTTGTGGGAAAAGTAATCGTCGTTGATGGGTTCTGGTGGCGGAGGGGGAGGTGGTGGCAGGGCGTCGATAAGATCGCCTTCGTCTGGAACGACCTCGAAAGCTTTGAGCTTGTCGGCGATTTTGCTGCTCTTCTTACTCTTCTTCATCGACAGTTCAGCTTTTGGCACGTCGGGAGATGCAAGCGCGTCCAAGGCGAGTGCGGTGGCATCTTCCAGAATCTTGCTTGACTCAGCATCTTTAATCTCGGGTCCTACCGAACAATAGTGGTTAGCTTTGGTAAATCTGGGGTATGCAGGCTGCAAAGCACCATGCACGGTTGGGGCATGGCGTGAACCAATCTGGGGGCGACGAACCTTTCTTCTTTGAGGAGCCCCACAGGTAAAACGTGTCGGACTTATCCTTGGGGGGACTCGGAGATAAGAGCTCATCGATTTGGGCATCATCCAGTTCGATACCATCAAGATCCAGGAGATCATCGTCCTTGCTCTTGGCGGGTGGGCTTTCCTTTCCAGACTTGGACTTGGATGACTTCTTGTCTTCCTTGGAGCTCTTCTTGGACTTTTTCTTTGAAGAAGATGCCGCCAGCTCTTCAGCTTCCTGGCGCATGCGTTCGGCTATCTCTTCGGCTTCGCGAATGGCCTCTGCTTCAGCTGCACGTTCAGCTTCACGAGCAGCTTCCTCTTCAGCCTCCTTGGCTTCTTCTGCTGCGAGTGCCTCTGCCTCTTCGGCCATCTGGGCAGCCTTGGCTTCGTTGCGGGCATTGGCCTTTTCAGTCAGACGATTGAACTTTTCTTGGTCCTTCTTGGGGAGTTTTCGCTTGGCCATCTTGGTTGTCAGTGCAGCAAGTTCTTCTTCTTCCTGGGCAATTTCGGCGGCTTCAGCTTCGAGGCGGTCACGTTCTGCTTGTTCCTCGGCTTCCTTGGCGGCAAGTTCGTCAGCGATCCGTTGAGCCTCTTCCTCGGCCTCCCGAGCGGCTTGCTCTTCGGCTTCGCGCTGGGCCTTCTCCTCGGCCTCCTTGGCTTCCTGCTTGGCGCGCTCCTTTTCAGCCTTTTTCTTCTCCTTTTCGAGCTTTTCGAGTTCTTTCTTGCTCAATTTGGGCTCCTTCTCCTTGCTCTTCTTCTCCTCCTTGTCCTTGGACTTGGACTTTTTGGAGCTAGGAGCGTCATCCCAAATATTGGCCTCGGGTTCTGGTTCTGGAGCAGGTTCGTCCAATGGAGGGGTGGGAATTGGATCATCGAGCACTGGTTCGATAACCTCTTCAGGCTTGCTTGCGTCTGAGCCCTTCTTCTTCTTCTTGTCCTTCTTGCCAGAACCAAAGGTTGCCCAGAAGTCGTCGTTGCCAGTATCAGCAGGTTCCGGGGCGGGAGGTGGTGGATCTGGTATCACCTCGGGCTCCTTTTCAAGCTCCACAAGAGAATCCGAGGTCTTGCCCTTCTTCTTGGTGGTCTTCTTGGTCGCTCCCCAGAAGCTCCAAGCGCTGTCATCCACAGCAGGTATCTCCTCCTTGACAATGGGTTCGGGCTCGAATTCCAGTACTGGTTCCGGCTCAGGCTCTGGTACAGGCTCTGGTTCTGGCTCTTTTGGCGGCTCCTCGTCCCAAATGCTTCCCTTCTTCTTTTTCTTCTTGTCCTTTTTGGAGGAAGAAGTGCCCCAGATATCAGCTTCAGGTTCGGGCTCGGGAGCAGGTGGTGGCGGAGGTGGCGGCGGCGGTTCTGGCTCAGCGTCTTTGCCCTTCTTCTTCTTCTTGTCCTTCTTGGAACTAAATGATGCCCAAAAGTCGTCATCTTCCTTCTTCTCCTCGACAGGTTCGCTAAGAAGTGTTAGCTAATAATCACATGGGTAAGCACTCGGTACAACATACGGCGGTGGCTCCACGACAGGCTCCGGTTCTGGTTCTTCGGCTCCCTTCTTCTTC